GCGACTAAGCGACTAAGCGACTAAGCGATTAAGCGACTAAGCGACATGTTAATAATAATACAAGATAATAATAATATATTCTAAGATAACTAAATAAATAATAAAATAATAAACTAATAATAAATTCGTTCTATAACAATGTATAACTATTTTACTACTAGACATTTAGAAATTGATACTATATATTATAAATTGTAAAACATTATTATTGGGACCAAATACAGTATATAGAGATATTAAAGAATATATTAAAATCTATAAGCAATGCCAATATAGAAACAAAGCTAAAGAAAAAAACTATTATATCCTATTAAAATAAGATAAGTATTTGAAAGAATTGAAATAGATTTAGTAAAACTCTTACCAATAACTAACTTAAATAATTAATATATTATTGTTGCTACAGATTACCTAACTCAATAGTCCAAAGCCCAAGCTATACCTGATGCTAGTGCCTTAACTCTTGCCAAATTTATCTTTACTGAAATTGTATATTAATATGAAATTCCCAAGATAAAACTTTCTAACCAAGAATCTAATTTTCAAAATAATATGATCAAACTTTTGTATAAAAGGTTCTTGATTCACCAAAATTTTTATCATCATACCACTTCCAGACCAATAGAATGGTTGAACATCTTAACAGAACACTATGTGAATTACTTGCTAAAGTTGCAACAAGTCAAACTTGGGATGAACAACTACCTGCTGTCTTATTTGCATAAAATAACTAAATGAGTTAGTATTTATAAAATAAATATTAATAAAATTAGTTTCTTAAAAATTAAGTATAGTTTAATATACAGTACAAATTGTATAACAAACCTAATAAAATGCTGGCATAACTGCTAAATTAAAAAAAAACTTGTATTATACTACTGTATATACTATAGTTTAATAAAAAATATATATATACTGTAAACTGCTATATACAAGACCCTCTCAAATATCAGACACTCTCCACCATGTACTAGACCCGGGGGTTTTATATTAGGTTTTAATATTGGTGGGTGTAAGAGACCCGGGCCTTTTGTACAGCAGTTTATGGTAATTGTATTAAATTATACAAATTTGATTACTAGATTTTAAGTTATGTATTTGTACAAAATTATATAAAATTAAATGTTTTGTGCAATTGAACGTTTTTTTGTACAAAATTAAAAAAAATACTGTACTATTTTGCAAAGACCTCTTAGTCAATACACTTTTAACTATTTCCAATAATACTCTATTTTTCTTTAGCTTAGTAAAAAATCTCTAAAATCAAATCACGAACTTTTACCAGGCGTGTCATTTACCTGACGGGTTAAAGCTAATATAATTTGATATACGACAAATTCTAAACGGTACATCCATGGCTTGATAAATACAGGGGTAAAGATTACAATTATTGAATAAATTTTTTTCTTGCAAAAATTTATCATTAAAGGGCAGATTTTACCAAATTTGAGACTTAATTAGCTATTTCTAGGGATGGCGTATCTATTAATTATCGCTATGACTATCGAGACCATGTAAATTGAAAATCAATCTAGCCCATGAATTCGATTTTGGTCGAATCAGTTTTAGAGTCGATTCACGAGCAAGGTTGATCGTCAATAGTTAACTTAGCTTGGGTTAGAATCACGTATTGCTGCACAAATAAGTAAAATCATTCGACATGACTCAATATTAACAAAAATATAAGACCGTGTGACTTTTTATTATAATGGGCGTTAATGTAACAATAGTCAATGAACAGTTATATAAACGATGGATTTTATCATTAAAATTTTCTTTTAATTTCCCCTTTTTTATTATTGAAGAAAAAAAAAAAAAACAATGACTAGAGGAATACTTGCTGTTCATATTGGTAAGGTTTTCTCCTTTTAACGATCGAATTTATATCATCTCTACTATTAATTTTATTCTTTAATTTTCATTTCGTCGACTTCTATTATGTAGTTGAGGGTAAAGATTTAAAGAAAACTGATGAATTTGGTAAATAAACTTATGTTTATATTTTTATTTAATGTTTAAACAAAATGAATTATTGATTATAATAATAAATTATATAGGTCATGGTGCGAAACTAATAATGTATTGAGCAAGAAATTCAGAATTCTATTTAGTGTTATATTAGATTACTTACAGTTATTAAATACCATAGGTGACCCCTATGTGGAAATTTGGTTAGATAAGAACGCTCAAAAATTCAAAACTGATGTGAGGAGAGATACTCCTACACCCGTTTGGGATAGGAAATATCACTAGTCAGTTCTACTTCTTTATATCACGTTATTTCACGTGATCAAGATCTAATAATTTATTTTTTATTGATGCATAGCAACGTTACCAATCAATGTGAACTTCATGTAAGAGTCATGGATGAGGATATCTTGACAGATGATACTGTATGTAAAGATCATAAACTGAGAAATGTTAATTTTTACATATTAATCGTCAAATAATATTCGCTCCATTTAGATCGGAACAGCCTCTGTAGATATCTCCGACATCTACACATGTTATTACATAGATAAGTGGATTGACTTGCCCGACGTGGATGGCAAACACCGAGATGGCCAAGTTCACATAATTTTGGAATACTTCCCCCCTCATTTAATCGCAGAATACTTCCCCTCCAAATAACGTCATCTCAATATTTATTTATTTATTTATTTTTTAGCTATATTTTTTGTTTATTTATAAATATAACATGTTTTTTATAATAAACAAGTCCTAGCACATTGCTATTGTTTATTATTGATTGTGTATATCTAGTTTTTTGGTTCCATAAAGGTGCAATTGATTATCCTCTCCGCCACTTAAGATCATATCAAGATCCCAATCGATACAAAATAATTTTTTCACCGAAGAATTGTTTTCTTGTGAATTTGAATTTTGTTGTATTGTATATAAAGGTGTCCTGCTACGAATATCCCAGATTTTCACTGAACCATCATAAGACCCACTGGCGAGCATAAACTGTGATTTCGGTGACCAGGATACACATGATACCCAATTTTTGTGCGAAGAAAGCGTCAATTTGACCATTGCAGTTTCTAGTAGTACGAGGTGTTAAAACAATAATAATAATAATAATAATAATAATTATAATAATAATAATAATAATAATTCCACGATTTTATACCTTCTGTTCGTGGATCCCATATTCGGACTATTTTGTCAGAGTGTCCGGATGCAATTAAATTGTCTGAACAGGCAATGCCAAGAACAGTTTTGTCACAAATCTGATCACATTATTAAAAATTACTTAGAAATTTTAAATTAAACATATGCATCAACTTATGAGTTTGACAAACCTTAGTATCAATGTTGGTTCTCGTTTCAACGTCCCAAACTCGTATCGAATGATCCCAACCTCCACTATATATTTTATTTGAGTCATTTTTGTCGAACACTACAGAGGATATTGGACCTACATGACCTTGCATTGTCGCAATTGGAGCCTGAAAAAATATTGTGTTTAATGAAGTTATCCGTAATCTAGCTAAAAAATAATAAACAAAGACTAATAACATTTATTATGTCGTGCCTTGGCGAAAATATCTTTGTTCAATTTTCTTCTTTTCATTTTTCTTTCAATTTCTTCATTTGCTTCCGGTTGAGTGGTAGTCCATAATAAAATCGAAGAATCCAAAGACGCGCTTGCAAACTATGAATATCATTAATTGTACTATTTTAGTTACAAACATATTGATCTAGCATTTCAACGCCATTGTGAAAAGATTAACATACTTTACCTCACCTCAGTGCAAGAAGAATTAACGGAAATACACTCTACGCTTTCTTTATGCCCTTTACAATCATACAATGGGGTATATTGTCCATCTGTAAGCGAGACCTATAATATAAAATTGAAAAGCTTTATGTTTTATGGTGCAAAATATATAAATTGATATAAATTGAAAACAAACCTGCCAAGCTCGAATAGAACGATCCTGTGACGCAGATAAACAAATAGCATGTTCATCTATATATGGCGAAAGGATTCAAAAAAGATTATTAAATAATTTACGGAATTCTATAATTTCTGATTTACCTGTGACAGAAACCCATGCTACACTTTTAATTGGAGCTGTATGTCCAAGCAATGTCTGCAAGCATTCACCAGAAGTGTTGAATATACGAACATGATTATCATACGAGCCAGTCAAGAAAAGACTATTGGATAGGACTTGTTAAATAAATAATAATTTATCGAATCATATATAATATATAATAAATATAACCTTTTATTGTGACCATTAACTGCACTTATCCAATCATCATGTTGAAAAGTTGATAATGAGGTGGGAGGAAGCATTGACTCAACATATTCAATGGTTAGAATATTTTCCTTTTATTATATAAAGACATTTAATACATTCATTCGATTAAATATCATTGTTTAATTATACATTGAAGCATACCGTTGATAATTCTTTTGTTTGTAAATACTCTTCCAAGCTTATTCTCAAAAACTGATTATCTATCATAAAATCGAAAGGAACTGGCCTCTCTATTTATCAAACGTGAAAATTGCAATTAAAAAGTTTTTTCTAATTTATTATATAAACTCGAAAGCTTGTACGGACCAAAGCCTAGAAGGTGATTTATTATTTCGGATAGACCATAACGACGTAACTTTGTCGGAACAAGTATAGCAGAATCCGTAACAGCATACTCTTTTTGTTGCGTAACAAAACGAACTTGAATTTGATTTTCTTCCTCTTGTACAGTATTCATTACAAACAATCTAGAGGTTTAAGATTGATCAAAAAAAAAATTTCGCACTTTTATATCTGATATGAAAATGGTGATGATCATATCACGTGAAATTTTTATTATGAAGAATTTTGATGAATGTGTATATTACATAAAAATTACAATCGGAATGGAAAAAAAAAATTAAATTAAGGGAATGTTGTAATATTTAATCTAATTTATACTTTTTTCGAAAAACAAAAATTTACTATAAACACATTTTTTCTTTATAGGGAATGTATTAAAATTCAAGCGGAGCTGCTGGAATTTGCTGCTACTTTTCTTTGCTGCGCAGCAACGAATGCTGCTCTCATTTTAAAGTAATCTTTGTGTAGACCACACTCGGTCTTATTTTGTCCTTGCCATCTTCCATCACGTTCATTAGAGGAATCACCAATCGGCTTTGTACTATGCCAGTCTCCAACTGAACGATAACCTTTGTCAAGTAATGGATTATATGGGACCTGCAAAAAACCAAAAAAGGTTAAGCTTAATAATTTAATCATTTGATGATGACATAAGCAAGAGATTTTCGATATTTATTCACCTCATTTGCACGAACATATGCTTTCACTCTTGGGAAGTCCCATAAAGCTAGAGGGTTCAATTTTAATAAACCAGTTCCACTTTCTATTTCTAAGATTCTAATATTTTCGCGGTCGCCTTTTTGACTTCGACGACGACCTGTGATAATTGCTGAGACACCTAATTCTTTATAAGCTCTTCTCGATGGTTCAACTTTGACCAAATAATCATAGGAAGCATCATCTGTTTCCCATAGGTTTTTGCCATAGAGTTGTTCAAAATCTTGAGCAGTTTCACAGTTTGCTGGCTTATAAATATGTAATGGAGCGTTATAACGAGAAACTGCACGATTAGTCAATTCCAGAGTCTCATCAAAATGATGTAAGGTGTCAACGAATATAAGAGGAACCAAATGTTGCGGTGTTGTTTCACACTCTTCAGCATATTCATAACTGATTTTAGATATCATATCAAGGATAATGAGGCCTATTTTTAAGTAAAAAAAGGTGAGAAATAAAAAATTAAATTTAATTTTAAGAAATAATAAGTATTATTATATTTGTTAAATAATCTACCTGTAAGACCAAAGGCTGTTGTTTGATATAATCCGGGTAAAGAGACTATAGCCCATTCGAGGATTTTTTTTGGAGGTAATTTAGCTAATTTCTCATTCAGATAATCTAAATGTTTTTCGTTGAATAAAGTTGGAAGCTTATCATCGGACTCGTAATCTAATTCATTGGGACCCATTGTGAAAGTATTGCGAATTTCAAATGTTTAATGTTTTAGTTTTGATAAAAATTTTTTCGTTATTTGTTTGTTTTTTTTTTTTTTCGATGTGGCCTTTATATACCAATTCCAACATTGAATTTTCGCGTCATTTCCAAGGTTAGCCAATAAAAATCTCGGTAGATTGCGTCAATCTCGAGGAATTTTGTAAACTCGAGCTGTCGAAAGACTTTCAAATAAATTAGACAAATTTGGATGTTTGGGTAACAAACCTGCACATTATATTTTACATTATATTGTATTATTAATCCTAATGGCGTACACAAATATTATATATTATAACAAAAAAAAAAAAAAAAAAATCGGGTTCGATATATTTAGATATTTTAAGAATATCCAATGGGGAGTTTCAAGATTAAAATCAGAGAATCTTATTTTATTTTCCGATTTATAACGATTTATAATTAAAACAAAGAACTGAGACCAAGTCTCACTCTTAAAAAAAAAATATAAAATAAAAAAAAAATAAAAGTAAAAATGATATTGAAAAACATCCTACTTATTTTCAAAATGTGCCATTTATTGTTAGTTTTGAAACCTCCAAATGGCTTATTGAATTTCACGATATATCGGACAAATTGGTTTCACTTAAATTAGGTTAGGAATACACACCAGATCGGATATCGGATATTCCCGCAAGCAAGTTGAAATTAGAAACTGTTGATCCAAGCTGGTTTTCAGGTGCCCGTTACATCTCTTTTCTTGATTAGTATTAGAATTAATCTCGTTTTTCGTAATCTATATAAATCATATATATCATAAAATAGACATATTAGCGGTTCGTTCCACGTGAAGCCGTTAGAATTAAGTCCAAGCACATCCATAAATTGTACTTCATATTTTATTGGTTTTATTAATAAGTCATATCATTGTACAACTGACTTGTTTAAGTAAATCGACGACACCACTAAAAGTGCTTATATAAACCTCCAAAAAGAAAAAAACGAAAGTATCGCTATTTTCACGTGATTTTCCTTTTGAGTAGCAACTGTGATTTGCATACAAGCACGAGATTAGGCGATTACAGTATTACCATCACTCGTTATTTTAATAATCAGATGATCAATGATTAAGTATTCACCTACATAATATCAATGCCTTGCATCTCTATCAGGAGTTCATTCTGTTTCTTACAAGGTACGCGTACATACAATTTTACTGCGGGTTACGCATAATCATTTTTCTTATTGTTTCTGCATTGCTATATACCATCTCAACTTGCTAAATTTGGTTAAATTCTGAACTAAACGAACAGTCATGATACGTTCATAGTGACTAATTTCGTGAAATTTGACATAGATAACTCACGATTATTTTACGACCAAATTTTTCGGACCAATTAAATGACACAAAGATTGCGTGAATATGCATTATTATGTGGTGAATTTTTGTGCACCTATATTGCATGTACGTGCGTTCTAGAGTTATTTAACTATTACAGTAAAACCAAGCCGCACTAGTTACTTACTATTCCAGATTAAACACCATAGTTTTTACCCGGGGTACGTATACGTATTACTTCGAATTAAATTTTATAGTATATATATTAAAAAAAAAATATATATATATATATATATATATAGTATATATATAATTATATATATATATTTGAATTATCTTATCTAATTTTTTATCTTTAATACACTGTACAACATTCGGTTAAAAATTATATTTTTCATCCGACATAGTTAGTATAGCTCTTAAGTATAAATCAGGAACGGTGTAGCATATAAACCACACCAGTATGGTGTGATTGAATACTCCAGAATGTAATACGTACTTAGTGATGTAACCCAAACTGCTGAAATAGGAGGTAACAAATTTGTAAATTAAAAATTTGGCTTCAGACGACCCCCGAAATAGTTGGAATTTTGCCCTCAAATACCATGATATCATTTTATCATCATTTTAATCAAATATTGATATCATTAAATTATGAATGTATTTTTTTGTTTTTGTAATTGCGAAATGTTTTACATTACTAGTAATACCCTATCAACAGCCCTAATGTCCAATGCAACAGATGTCGAAGCCACACTTTTTTCAGCTGGCGAATCTAACCATTAAAATGATGGCTAAACAGCTGGCTAGCTAATAACCTGATTAGGTTAATTATCGAGTACAATGTTGCGGGTGATTCTAATAAATCACTATTTACCGATACAAATAAATTTAGCAAAATAAAATTATACTATACGTATACATGGCGAAAATATCGCATATTATACTGGTTATGAAGCAGCCAATCAAATTCCAGACTAATACAGTCAACCCTCTCAAAACCGACCCTGTCAAACCCGATAACCTGTCAAATCCGATAAAAAATTAATCTACCAAGTTCCCGTTATATAAATCTAATAGTTTGCTATGCTTTCAAATCCGATAACCTTGTCCACCATGCATACCGATTCTGAGAGGGTCGACAGTATATATAATACATAAAACAATATAATTTTAACTATATATATATATATATATATATATAATATATAATTATATAATAATATATACGTATATGTTAGGGGCCTATTAAAATCATATCACTAATTGCGGAATTTTTATGGGTATCGATGTACACATATCTATTTTTGTGCAACTGCTTTAACATCGCTTAGTCATTTGTCGGGTCTTTTAAAATCAAGTTCAAAATTTAAACTACAAATAACTATGAAGTTAGAATTATTTATATTATACATTAGATTAATATTTGTATTATTTTAAAATCACTCTAGTTTTATTTTAAATATTAATTTGGCACAAATTTAATTTGATATAATATGGGTGCCGTCAAGGGAAAACCTACAATCGGGCTTTCAAGTATATTTTGTGTACAGTTGGTTATCTGTGTGCCGTCTATGTAAATCTATCATCGGACATAGATTTACCATAGACGACACATAGATAAACAACTGTACACAAAATATAATAGTTATTTTATAATTTATTATATCATTAAACATCACAGATTAATCTCAATATTATTTAGTATTGTAGTGTTACAATGCTATAGTCTTCTTGTAACCACATAGCATGGTAACAAGGTTACCCAGTGCAGAGATCCTGCTATTGGAATATCGGGTGGATGTGAAGTATAATTAAACTTCACAGCAGAAGGCAAATGGTTTGGTATTTGAATAATATATTGTTTTTTTTTTTTTAACTTTGGCAGTTATGCCTTCACTTTATTAGGTATAAATAAACAAACTACACAGTCTATTAATTTTACTGAACCAATTGGCCTAGTCACCTAAGTTACAAGTGTTAGCTAACCTGGTTATATCAAGTACACCTATATTCGATCTGCTATAGTAGAGTTTATCTTCTTACTTATCACTAAGGTTCCAATAAACCCAAACTGAGACCAGACTTTAGGCAAGTTCAAGTCCAGTTTGAAATTCAAACTGGACTTGGACTCAAACTATTTTAAACCTTAGTTTGGTCCGGGTTCAAATATTAAACTTTTGGCTTAGTTCAAGTCTAAAATCCAATTCAACTGTATTGGTTTTATCATGATAACTAAATCTATACAGTAGGGTTGCAGCCCAAACTATTTTTTTAAGTGATAACATTACTACATAGTTTGGGTTCAGAAATCAGAATTTTTATTTAATTTAAGTTTAAGTCAAAAATCCAAACATATATCCCATTTTAATCAATAATATCAAACT